GGGTGTTGCTTAACTTTTTTCCTAGGTGTATATTTAAAGTTCATCATCATCATCATCGTACTACACATTGTAACGTAACAAGCAGTTATTTTACTCTAAAGCAATACAGATATATATATAAATAAATTAATAGAACTCAAGTTGAAGCTTTTCCTGTAAGGTTTCTTGTTTACAGTGTGTGATATATTCATATACAAATAAGCACTCCAGCAAGTTAACATCCAAGATAGGTTGTAAGAATATAGGGTTATCATGAGCTGAAGGTGCCCTAACTTTCTGAATTGGTAACTAAACTGCAAGCCACTTTGTGCTTCGGCCAGTGCTGGACTTGACACTCTCTGGAAATTGAAAACATTATTATTTTGAACTGGTCATTGAGTGAAATACCAATGATTTTACTACATATACTGAACTCAACAAATCCAGAAACTTAGTATGACACTTCATGAAATGATGTAACTAATTCATCCTTACAATAAAACAAGAATTATCCTATTATACAATCTGTGCATACTTATCTCAGAGTGTCACAAAATGGATAAGACTTAAAAGATAATTTTGCCAGAACGTACACCGATAACTACTCACCTCCTACAATACCACTCGTTGCGACAGCGAGAACAACGTTTATTTGCACTGTGGCCACACACGCAACACTTGGGTGTTTCTGGAACAAAATTTTCCAATATATCCACAGAGTAGGTATCTGCCAACCTGTGGAGAAAAGCTTTAACTTTGTAAGTAAAACAACACATTACCGAAAGCATTGGGACAATAATAAAATATGCAAGGTTATTAGTTCACAAGTGTTTATTCTATCTATATTAAGGTCTACCGAAGAGAATGATTAGATTCCGTAACTAACACTCTGTACCAAGTTTTGTCATGCTGGAAAAAGTAAGGGTTTTCACCTTAGTATTCCATCAAAGATTGTCCAAAGTATCAATATAAGATACTTATATGAACCTAATAATCCCGGCCAACCAAGTATTTCTAACAGAAACATGGCTTCTGTTGTCTACCACATAAAAGGTATTTCTTGTATACTCTACCTTCATACCTAAAAGAAACGTCTCACGTTATAAGTATCATTGAGGAAGTCAAAGACAATGGACATTTACCATCTAACAGCCTTCTGTGTAAAATGGACGTTTCTTCTCTGTACACTAATATTCCACAAGATGAAGGACCTGAAATCTGCCCTAAACGTTTCCAATCCACCAGAATCTCAAAAAAAAATCTGACCTTGCCAGTCTAGTCTTATGAACATTACCTTCAGATCAATGGTACCAAGATGTATGCCAACATATTTATGGGCCCTGTTGGAAGCTAGCTCTCATCCAAAGCCCTGTGAATTCAGATTAATGGTACCAAGATGTATGCCAACATATTTATGGGCCCTGTTGGAAGCTAGCTCTCATCCAAAGCCCTGTGAATTCAGATTAATGGTACCAAGATGTATGCCAACATATTTATGGGCCCTGTTTTTGAAAAGAAGAGTTGGTAGCTTTATTACATGGATGACATCCATTATTTGGTAACTTCTAACACCTTTTTATGAACAAGGATATCTTCAAGATTTCTACTCTTTTGGAGAGGCAACAGGAACTTCAGGAAAAATCATTCATAGGCAGTCATTCAGTTATAATAGACAGAAATGGTTATTTATTTTTTCACAAGACATTAAACATTTCTTACTTTAAATTTAAATGTAATAACAAGAGGAATTCTGTTTGATTATTTAATATTACATTCTTTAGGGATGGTTTTTTCATTGAGGACTGTTAACTTTTTTAGTCTGTAAGTTTTGGTAAGTAATATTCCATTCAGTGTGAGAGTGGTGGCAATGTTTTTAGTGAAGATATTATGGTCTGTCAGTAGGTTTTCTGTACAATTCAGTGTGTCAAATTTCATCATTTAAAAAGACAGTGATGTGAAGAAAGTTAATTTAGGTAGAGGGGGGGGGGGGTTTGGATGAAAGCTAGCTTCCCAACCTCTAAAAAATGGAATCACCAGTATGTAGGACAGGTCCAAGCGTCTCCTAGAGAGAACTAAAAATATTGTGTTAACCCCAAGAATTACCTACTTCATGTCTAACGCTTCAACTAACCATATTACTCTGTTAGTGATGAGATACTGATAGGTGCTGAAACCAGTTTGAAACTAAATTCAATTCAATTTACTCCATCGATATTTTGATTTTAGATCATTCAGGCCTCGAGGAGGCCCAAAAGACAATCAGAGATGCTAAAAACTATTGTTTCTCTTCACCCCACATGCACTGGATTATTATACAGTAGCTGAGTTTACGGGCTGAATATAATCAAATTTTGGCTAATATAATAATGTGATTTAATTCCTAAATTTTAAAGATTTAAATTTTAGCTTGCATGGTTATTATGAGTTGGCACCATCCTAAGGCAATCGGGAAAATCAAGCTGGTGTGTCTGGAGAATGGAAATTGAGCAGGTGACTAAACGAGGAGAAAGAAGTTTGGCAGTTAGGTGGTGACGGTGTCCAGGATTCCAAGAAAGTAAACCAAAGCCATTTCCAAAGAAAACTGATAAATTATTGGCGTTTTGTTTGAAAGAATGTACCTGAATATTAAAATAATTGATAATAACTTTCTGTAGATTGGATAAAAGAGAAAATGAGGGGTCTTGGGACCTAGTTATTAAGTTGTTAAAAGTTATTAATTTAAGATTGAATTAAAATATGGTCATGGGTCTATGAATAGGTAAAAAACTTATTTCTGGATTTATTACTGTCATATTGCACAACAGAAATCAGTCGCACCTTCAACATTCCTTTGAGAACTAATTACAATACTTCTGGGTTTCTATGGTAGTCTACTTTGCATAAAAATGATGAAATCCACGTTTTATCAAATTTAATTTATTCCGAGTTTGCCTCAGAATATGGAAAATCTACCTTTTTCAAAGTACTGGGAGTTTAAGCTTTCTTAACATCATACATATATATATATTTTAAAACACTGGTATCAGGATTATTCAACAAGAGCATTCAGAAGAAATACAAATATTACTAGCTACTTTCAAACATTGTAACCAAAGAGTGGAAAGTAATAAATTATTTTATCTTAAAATAGTTTCTGTACAATGTAGTAATGGTACTTGTACCTATTCAATATAGTTGTCAGACTCTATCCAAGAAGAAAGACTGTAAAAAAATGATATTTTCAAACTGTAATGATCTCTAATACCATTTATAGTTTATAATATCATTAAAATACATGTATTTACAGTTCACGACTTGAGTACATAACTTATTTAGCTGAGATGAACACTAACCGTCTAGAATGTTCTTTAAGGGCTTCCAGACTTGGTGAAAAAAAAGTCTCCGCTTGCTGTCGAGATATTTTATCCCACTTGCCCTCTCCTTCTTTCAAAAACTCTTCTCGCAGCTCTGAAATCTGGAAAACATCATGAAAATCACAATATTATATAAGTGCTGATACACTTTGGCACAAAGTGTTTCTTTAAGACTCTCAAGATCTTCCACAAAACTTGTGAATTCATTGCACCATTTAAAATCCATAGTTATAAAAGAAATGTGGCTTCACCTGAAGATATATAATTATGGAAACAAACAAGCAATACACAAAAATGAGTAACCTTGACAGTAAGGAGGCTGATGGAACAGTCATGACTTAGCTGGAATAAAGTCTTAATATGACCATTCTTGAAACTTTATGGGCTTGTATAAAAATACTGATAAGGTCAAAAAGCAACCAAATAATCTGGCTAATTTGCAGGGAGTAATATAGAACTTTTGGAAGAGTATTCCACAATTTATATTGATACACTATGTGGCAGCATGAAAACGAGGTGTAATTCTCTGTGCTGTGTGTAAACTAAATGAGTAATATAGAACTTTTGGAAGAGTATTCCACAATTTATATTGATACACTATGTGGCAGCATGAAAACGAGGTGTAATTCTCTGTGCTGTGCGTAAAGTAAATGATTTATGTACAAAATACGCATCGTACAACTATTGTATTTTCTGTGCTAATGTTTTGTACGATTAATAAATTCACTATATAGTTGCCAAGCTGTATGCAATACTTTGAAGAGGATACATGAAACTGGTACTGTTAATAATTGAAGTGGTTGAGATAAAAAGTGAGGTTAAGCATTTCGAAGTAGGTTCTTTATGAGATGGATGGTGGTTTAGTAAAGATGTTGCTATGAATACAGATGTTAATGTTACCTGAAGAACAGTACTATATACGTTAGTATCTAGTGGTTTCAGCAAAATGTTTGTATGGCTATCATACCATAAACAGTAGAATTAGAAAAGTTGGCGAATTGAAATTTAAATTGTTCAGTAATGATTGATAGTTTGTTCAACAGTAGAGAAGAAATTGGTATCATAATTAACATATAACATCTACAGTGAAGCATGTTGGAGGATCAGTAGAAGTTTGGAGCTGCATCTCAGCCACTGGTATCAGTTATCTACAAGAATTTGATGGCACCCTGACTGTTAGCAAGTACAGGTGGATTTTGATCCAGCAAGCCATTCCCACTGGAAACAGCTCATTGGTTAATCTTACTGCAAGACACTGATCCCAAGTATATAGCAATTGTAACAAAATGATATATATAAGACTCCATATTTCACCAGGCATCAACCAAAATATCCATACATGAATGCTTGTCATGGTGTATTTCAGTGATGGTAGCCATGACTGGTTATCACTACTATTACTAGGCATGGTATGGCTGCCTGTATTATTACATACAAATATGGTACATTCTGACTGGTTAGTGAACAAACAATCATGATGTAAACTATCAACACAAGACTGTACTCTATATATATATTAGAAATTAAAATATTTTGTCTAGTACATGGTTAATTTACATTTTCACGTAAGGGCTAGGTTACTGAAAATTGTTACATTTATTAAACAAGTAGTTGTTTTTTTCAGCAAGTGTAGTATTTGTTTAACTGCATAAATTTATGTTAAAAAAAACATTGAACTAAATACTAATCTTATTTTTTACATCAATGAATCTAAAGTATTTTGTGTAAAAAAAAAATTGAAATAAGCACTAAATCAAATTAAATTATTCAACTTTTGATCAATAAACCTCTTTAGTGACCATCTGAAAATGTCCCACCTGTTCAATGATCAAATCTCTTCTGACAGCTGGTGGCTCCATGATCGACAAGCTCTCCAGATATTGTTGAAGACTTTGCAGGGAAGGTAGCTGTTCTATTAAGATTTCACTAAGGTGGGAACGAAGCTGAAATGACAACCAGGTCATGATTGTTTAACGATAGAAAACACAGCTTAATCTCAGTATACAAACAAATAATACACTTCCAAGAAGAACCATGTAAGGTTTACTTAATGAACGTAATGGCTATCAAACTACTACAACCATAATGTTCAACGTTTTACAGTGCTATAATATAATAATACACTTCCAACAAGAACCATGTAAAGTTTACTTAATGAACGTAATGGCTATCAAACTACTACAACTATAATGTTCAACGTTTTACGGTGCTATAATATAATAATACACTTCCAACAAGAACCGTGTAAGGTTTACTTAATGAACGTAATGGCTATCAAACTATTACAACATAATGTTCAACGTTTTACAGTGCTATAATATAATAATTCTCCTACAATTTGATAAATGTACACTAATTACATATTAAAGCTATATTATGTGAGACTGCCATTTGTGACTTTCAGAAGTTGAAAAGCAAACAGACTGTAACATTACATATTATCAGAAAGGTTTAACATTGTTTCTTTGTTGCTAAGCGCAAAGCTACACAATGGGTTATCCGTGCTCTGCCCACCACAGGAATCAAAACCCAGATTTTAGCATTATAAGACTTCAAACTTACCACTAAGCAACTGGGGAGCCTGTTGGGACATCTACACGAGATAGCTATGATGCGTTTGTATTATACTGTAACGTAACATTAGTAAAAAAGTGTATTAAAAAACAACTATTAGAAAGGAAACTTGAATCCTCAATCACGAGTTGTGAAAACTCCATGAATGTGATTTGATTCACATCGCAGAAGTAATATACAACAGCCCGTAGACAAAATTAGAGACGTGCTCTTAGCGACCGATACTCTATTAACAAAGGAAATGTTTGACGTACGGACATCATTATTTGCGTTCAAGTACCAAGGAATTAACTATAAAAACAAACACACACTTAAAACTTTCAAATAAGAACAATTAACCAAATAAGCATGCGAAACATTAATAAAGGTCAAGTTGGAATTTATCAGTAAACAGGAAATTATAATGAAACTAGAAAACATAATAATTTATATTTACAGTTTTAAACAAACTTAAAAACACTGTAACAGTATATAATTAAGGTCTTCAGTACAAACTTCAAATAAGAATTATTATCATCAATATTTTTGTTGAAAGTGAACTTTACACCTAATTAACACGGAACTTTGCAGTTATTTTGATTTTTTTTTTAAAAAACAACATCACCAGCTGGTTGGGATGAGTAGTGTTAACTACCTTCAGAATCTGGTTTTTCTTGTAACTGTTTAGTTCATATTTCTTCTGACATTCTTCACTCAGAAGCAGGATGTAGTAGAGTGATCCAAACCTAGACCCAGGGAAAAAATGTGAAAAAAATTAATCAAATTCATAAGTTCGAAAGTGAACAGTTTTCTGAATCACAGTATTTACATCGAATTGAAAACTATATAAACAGTGTATTGTAAAATGTACAAACAAACTTGGATTTGAAATAAAGACCCTCAATCTGTCCCATAACAAACAAGTGGTCCAGCAACTAAACTAAAGACCCACAATCTCTCCCATAACAAGTGAATTCATCACCAACTAAACAAAAGACCAACAATCTCTCCCATGCTAAGTGAATTCATCACCAACTGAACTAAAGACCCACAATCTCCCCATGCTAAGTGAATTCATCACCAACTGAACTAAAGACCCACAATCTTGCCCATGCTAAGTGAATGCATCACCAACTGAACTAAAGACCCATAACCTCGTCCATGCTAAGTGAATTCATCACCAACTGAACTAAAGACCCACAATCTCTCCCATGCTAAGTGAATTCATCACCAACTGAACTAAAGACCCACAATCTCGCCCATGCTAAGTGAATTCATCACCAACTGAACTAAAGACCCACAATCTCTCCCATGCTAAGTGAATTCATCACCAACTGAACTACAGACCCACAATCTCGCCCATGCTAAGTGAATTCATCACCAACTGAACTAAAGACCCACAATCTCTCCCATGCTAAGTGAATTCATCACCAACTGAACTACAGACCCACAATCTCGCCCATGCTAAGTGAATTCATCACCAACTGAACTAAAGACCC